ATATATATATATATATATATAAGCTATATCTATATGTTCATATAGTGCTAATTGTGATTCATAGAAACACGCACGAGCTGACGTAAATTTCATTGGCAAGCTAATTAGCAAAGCACTGCGCACCGGATCAAGTCATCATATATAAGCCTTTAAAGCTCAAACGCTAACAAATACGTTTTTTTAGTAAACGAAGTGATCGCGCTGACAACCTTTTAATAAGTATGAATAAAGATTTTTGGTCGCTAATTAATTAATTAATTACGCTCTATGATGTTTATGCATGTGCAATTCGTGATAAAGTTATAATGTACTGTATAAATGATGGGTATGCTGTGGTTCAAAAGTGTGCATCTTATTTACAACGGTAGGTGATATTGATCTTGGCGTGTTCCGGATAAAGACATCGTATTTGCACATTTGCGAGCAAAATGTATGCAAGTGAGTCGGGATTGGGCCTATTATTGGTGCGGCACTTATTCTGACGAGATAATCCCGTTGCTTTAGTGATATCATGGCTTTCATAACTATCATCTATGAATGTAAGCAGGTATATCTAATAGACTCCTTGCACGTGACGTCACATATGGGTTCTGCAGCCATATTGAATGATAAACGTACTGGCACCCATGTCCATCTGAGACCAATATTAAATCACCCACAAGACCCGAACATCGAAAGATTTTTAAGATCTGAACTTCGAGAGCCAAAAACAAACACGTTGGCGATTACTTGCTTCATTGCGTCATTAACGCTATATAGGCATGTGCTTCGATCAGCTATGTTATATATGATTCTCGTGATTTGTTGACCGGCATTCAAAAAGATATCATAAATTCATTCGTAGACACCACATATACGCCTACAAGACAACCGATTTACATACGAAATGGCAATTAGACGCGTCCAGTACGAAGAGCAGTAGACAGACAGATGTAGTTAGATTAGGATTAGGAGGAAACACAAAGGAATATACGCCATTGTGCGTAGGAGCTGAGAGGGTAGTCGAGGCGTACGAGTGCATGTATGCAAGCGTAAATAAAAAATGTATGCATATCCGTAAATCAAAAAACCTGAGGCGGAAACATATACGGCCGTATTTTGTGTTTTACCAAAATTTCTTAAAACTGTGTAACAGACGAGCTAAATCAGTATTCGACAGTTATCTCACCGTTTACACATCACGTAGCATTCTACATATTATGCGTTAACTAATTATTTATTATAACACATTTAAGCATGGACACGCTTCAAACGGAATAATATCTTGATACTCGGCATCATGACAAATATAATTGGTTTGGGCAATTAATATCCGCGGTGTCAACATCGCGCACCTCGAACATTGATACGTTATAAAAAATAAAGTTATCTTTTTTTACAATCCGTGAACACTTCATGATCCAACTCGAATTAATCACGCTTTATATACCGATACCCTAAGTGTAACCACGTCCCGTCTTACACTGCGCATACCTCGAAAACCCGTCCTTCCTAGACGGGGTGCTTATCGAGGCGGCCCGAACATCACATCGATTGGTTTAGAGGCTGCATATCGCCCACGCTGAAGTTGTGTATACTCTGACCTTCTTATCGTGGATCTCATAACACCTGCACTTGGCACACGTTTGCCGGCCCACATTTTATTGCTCCCGCTGTCATCACGTGGGTGCCAGCTGGATGACGGTAGAGTGGCTTCACACGTACGATACTATACGCCTACCCACAGTTATAAAACCCTAGTAAAGTCAAACATATATGAATAAAATGTATGCAATACTGCTGTAGGCCTATATATGGCATACATTCACGTTAATACATAGAGTCATGCCCAAATGAAACTAACGGTCAAGCCTAGTCTATAGATTGCTCTCGAGTTAGCTCGCTCTGCGATATCTGCATTAGATAGATGTATTAGGTTTTTGTATCGGAGTATTATAGGTTATGTGACCATACAGACCTGCAATGCCAGGAGAGCAAGACAGTGCGTTCTAGTAAACTCGTAAACACACGTACAGGGTCGGTGCATGAAGTTAGTTAGAGGCTAACTACATTATGTACAACTGCGATTCAATCCATTAAACCTTTGCACGAGCACAGGCATAATAAAGACAGCATATCATAGTGGATTGACACTCATACTGACTGTGGCTAAGTATACTAGACTCGGTCAAGTGAATCTGCCGGAAACCAGGGTCTACTCAGCCATCCGGAGGTGGAGTGTGCATGCGAGCGGGCCTGTGATAATTAATCTGCCCAACACACAAACTTTACATGCATCACATATGCAATCTTACACACATGTTAGGAACGGTTACCTAGCTTTTATATAAATACACACCAGTAATAAAGTCACGATGTCGATTTACCGTTTTATCGAAATTAAATTATACTACATATTATGATACATCAAGTTATTGGCTGTTATATTGTTGCTATTTCTTGATGCTCTGTTTGCTTTATGAATGATAATACTGCTTCCACGGCGTAGGTAAATAGGAAAACCTATTCTACAAACTGCCCGAAGCCGAGTAGCTCAATAAAATCAGGAGTAGATAATAGGGAATTCCCTATTATCTACTCCTGATAAAATCCATTTGAGATTGTCAAGCAATGTTGAAGAAGATAGTGGATGTGAGGCTATATCTATGCCATGGAGATCATCCACACGCTTACGAATTCTGTCCTATTAAAAATTAAACTGTTATTTACGATTTCTGCGTCGTCCATCGTATGCTGGCGATGCTGTGTATATACATCACATCACTTCATCCATTTGTGCCTAAAAACCGTGCTATCGAAATGGTGCTAACAAAAACTATGTTTCGAACCCCCATATTTTATACATACGTGCTCATCCATATTACCTCATACCGGGGCAACGATTCGTCGTACCCTACCTTCATTATTGTGGCCGATTGACGTTGCCTGTTGCTCATCCTGAACCATGCACCGCAGGCTGGTAAAACGGCACACAAATTGTTGAAGAAGCCCGGCGCACACGTCAGTAATTTTACTCAAGTAAAATGACGCATGAGTAAAATTACTCACGTGTGCGCCGGGCTTAAATTCAAGTGTACGCACTGAATAATTTACTAGCTGATCTGTGCGGGGTCCCCAGGACCAGGTCATAATTGACTACTGCCCCGTACTGCGATCGATCTATAAGAATTATGATGAATGTGATCGCGTGTCGATGCAGGCGAAATATTCACCCAGCAAAATTGTACTACTGAAATGGCCGTTACATACTTCCCAATTCCCCATAACATGCGGCATCGGTCCCTTTGGTACATGCATATATATATATATATACATATATACATATGCCTATACCGAAAGATGCCATATATATATATATATATATATATATATATATATTATTATATATATATATATGTGTGTGTGTGTGTGTGTGTGTGTGTGTGTGTGTGTGTGTGTGT